TGTAGAGGGTCCACCAGTCGTCCGAGGTGGCCGAGGGCTCCCCGTCCGTGGCTGCCCTTGCGGTACATTCCGTCACAAAGTCCGCCAGGGCTTGGCCCTTGATGGCAGGCCTTGGACGGATGTCTATGTTGTACTGGCTCAGGAAGATAGCCCACTTCACCATGCGGGAGGAGCTGGTGGGGCTCCTCATGAGGGCGCCGAGGGGTTGATGAGTGAGGACCTGAACCGGGTGAGCCTGAAAGTAGTGGCCCAACTTCTTGACAGTCCAAACGATGGCTAACACCGTTTTTTCCACAGGGGAGTACCTGAGATCGGCCTCCCTTAGGGTCTTGCTAACGTAGAAGATGGCATGTTGGATGCCGTCCTCCTCCCGAATGAGCACAGAGCTGATGGCCGCCGGGCTGACCCCAAGGTAGAGGTAGAGGGTCTCTCCTACCTTGGGTTTGGAGAGCACAGGGGGTGAAGACAGATATCGCTTGAGTTCGTCGAAAGCCCCCTGGCATTCTGAAGTCCATTGAAAACCAGCCGTCTTCCTCATGATTTGGAAGAAGGGTAAAGACTTCTCCGCTGATTTAGATAGAAAGCGGTTGAGGGCTGCCAGGCGGCCCGTCAACCGTTGAACCTCCTTCACATTGCGTGGGGGTTCCATGTCGATGATGGCCTGGATCTTCTCGGGATTGGCCTCAATACCCCTTCGGCTCACCATGTAGCCCAAGAATCTGCCCCCTTGGACGCCGAAGGTGCACTTCTTCGGGTTTAGCCGAAGGTTGAAATTCTGCATGATGGCGAAGATTTCCCGGAGGTCGTCAGCATGGCTGGAAGATTGCTTGCTCTTGACGATCATATCGTCGACATAGGCCTCCATGGTGCGCCCTAGGACGGCCTGAAAGACCCGGGCCACCATCCGGGTGTAAGTGGCCCCTGAGTTCTTTAGGCCGAAGGCCATTACTAGGTAGCAGAAGATGCCCTCGGGAGTCATGAAGGCAGTTTTTTCGGCGTCTTCCTCGTGCATGAAAATTTGGTGATACCCTCGGAAGGCATCGAGGAAGGACATGATCATACACCCTGCGGTCTCATCCACCAGTTGATCAATATTTGGTAGAGGGAATGGATCCATAGGGCACGCTTTGTTGAGATCGGTGTAGTCCACGCACATGCGGAAGGTAGGGGGCTTCTGTGCGAGGACTACATTCACTAGCCATGAGGGATATTTCACCTCCTTGATGTGCTTAATGGAGAGGAGCATGGCGACTTCCTTCCTCACAAATTCCCTCCTCTCGGCGGAGAGGGGTCTTCTTCGTTGTTGTACTGCTTTTGCCGAGGGGTCCACCGAGAGGCGGTGGGTGATGACCCTTCGGCTGATTCCCGGCATGTCCTCCGGTCCCCATGCAAAGACAGTGGAGTAGGCGCGGAGGGCGTCGGTGATACCGGTCTTCAGATCTTCAGGGAGCTGGGGTCCAATCTTCACGACTCTCTCCGGCCGGGCCGGATCGAGCGCGAAGTCTTCTACGTCCTCGGCCGGTTCAGCCCTCGGCCTTTTCTCTTCTTGGTCGATGGTTCCGGTGATGGTGTCAACACGGAATTCCGTCTTGCTTACCTTCTTAGTGACTTGAAGATAGCAGGCGCGGGCGATTTTCTGATTCCCCCGGGAGTAGCCAATGCCCCCCTCGGCGGGAAACTTGAGGCAGAGGTGCCTCATGGAGATGATGGCCTCGAGGTCCTCGAGGGCTGGTCGGCCGAGGATAATGTTGTGGGCGCGGTCGATGTTGACAACGACGAACTCCACTTCGAGCTGGGCCCTATGGAGCCCGTCGCCGAAGATCACCGGGAGGGTTATTACCCCCTCGGAATCAATAGTGTCGCCGGTGAAGCCGGCAAGAGGGGTCTTAATGGGCCGAAGGGACCCCCTCTCCAGATGGAGCTCTCTGAAGGTGCTGAGGTACATTACATTGACGGAGCTGCCCGTGTCAATGTAAGTTCGGTGAATGATGGTGTCGCTTATTTCAGTCCGAATCACCAAGGCATCCCTGTGAGGAGAAGAAGTAGGAGGGAGATCTGCGTTGGTGAAGGTGATGGGTTCCTCCCTCAGTCGCTTTATCGGGGGCATATGAGTGACTTCCCCCACGTAAAGCGATTGAGCCCACTTCTTTCGCTGGCTGGTGGAATCGCCCCCTGTATTACCACCGGTGATCATGAGGATGTGGCGTTTTTTCTCCGGGTAGTGGGGGTACTCCTCCTCTTCTTCTTCCAAGTTTCCGATCTCCCTCTTCTTGCCGAGGGGGATGGTGTTCGGGTTTACGCAAGCGTTTACCTTCGTGTGGTGCCCTCGGGGAGGTCCCTGATGAGAAGGCCCCTCCTCCCGAGGGCTCTGAACGAATTGGGACAGGTGCCCCGCTTGTATCAACCTCTCGATGGGCGTCTTTAGCTGATGGCAGTCATCGGTTCTGTGCCCCTGGTGCCGATGGAAGCGACAATATGGGAACTGGGGGTTGATAGCATGTACCTCCGGGGGTGCGCGGGAATCGCGCTCAACGAGGCCCCTCTCCTCGGCAAAATCAAGGATGATGCTGACGGGGTGCGTCAATGGCGTCCGGGGGCGGTCCAGGAGAATGGGCTGTGCCCAAGTCTTAGGGCTGCTCTTATAACCTCCCCCGGGCTTGGCTTGGCCTTGCCGAGGGTGGTCATCAGAGGGTCCTGAAGGTTTGGGGTGATTCGGAGGAGCCCCCGGCCCTCGGTTGTTTTTGTTGTCAGCCCTCGGGGACTGCTGGTCCGGATGCTGGTGATATTTTTCCACCTCCTCGGCCTCAGCATATCGGTCCCCCCCGCTGCAAAGCCCTTATGTAGTCGCGGGGGGGTTCAATGATGAGGCTCCTTGAAAAGTTGCCGGTGCGGAGGACGGTTTGTAGGAGGGCCAGGAGGGTCCCGTCATCAGCACCGTCGACTTTGTCGGCTTCCGTCCTCCAGCGCTCCAGGAAGTCCCGAAGGGTCTCATCCCTCTTTTGGCGTATTGTTAGGAGGTGGGAGAAGTGCTTCCTTGTGCGACGCCTCCCGGCAAATTGTGTCAAGAATCGTTGGGCGAGTTCTTGCCATGAATCAATGCAGCCCTCGGGCAGCCTGTTGAACCATTCGTATGCCGGCCCCTCTAAGGTGGAGAGTAACCAACGACACAAATATTCGTCTGACGCCCCTACCATCATCATGCTGTTCTGGTATTTGCTGTAGTGTTCCTGGGGGTCCGTTTTCCCGTTTTAGGGCTGTATGTGTTGCCCTCGGTATTTTTCCGGGATCCGGGCCGCCAATACCCTTGGGGTAAATGGCGTCCGAGACCGGAGCTGGATGACGGGTTCTCCGGAGCCCTCAGCCACCTTCTTCTGTAATTCCTCCATTTTGGCCATCATGGCCTCGTATTTGAGGTCTGAGTGAGGGGTGGAGGTGGTGGCGTGAGCTTTGTTGGACTCCATTTCGTCAAGCCGACGTTGGAGGGCCGCAATAATCTCGTCCCGGGGATCCTTCGGGAGGGTCTCCGCCCCCTGCGAACGAACCCGGGCCGAGTGGGCCTGGTTGATCTGGTGGCGAGCATCATTGGCATGAAGGGGTGCCTTGCCTTTGTCCCGAGGGGGACGCTCCTCGTCTGCCCTCGAGACAGACCCTCTGCTTTCCTGGGGCCTTTGGAGTGCTTTCCCTCCGAGGCGGTCTTGGACCCCTCGGCGGTCTGGCCCTCCTCCGAGCCGGTTGAGGGCGGAAGTTCGGGGCCTTTCTCTGTCGTCATGGTGGCGGTCCCGGGACTGAACTTCCTGGGAGGACATATCTTGGGCCGCTACCCCTTCGTCATTCCTATACCGAGGGAGGGGGTTGCCGAAGGGGTGTGGCAGAGGGGAAGTATGATGTTCTCCCCAACCTGGGGTTGAGCCGGAGCCAGGGTGCCGAAGGCACCCGGGTTCTGATTGAGCGTTTGGATGAAGGCGGAGAGCGCCGATTGCACGTCGATGGTGAGAACCGGAGGGCTGACTTGGTCATCGCTCCGGTTTTTCTTCTTGGCCTCGATGCCGAGGCGAGCATCGGGGGCATTCTGTTGGATCTGAAGGCGTAGGTCGACAGCCGCCTGTTCCAGCCCAGCGATGACACCGCCCTCGGGAGCCCTATGAGAGGCTTCGGGGGCGTTGACGTCACCGAGGGCCAGGTTCTTGTCTTCTACGTTTTTGGAGTTGGCACGGGTAGTTCTCACCATTTTGGTAGAGGGCTGGTGTTTGGCGAAGGGGGGGGGGTTTCTTACTCGATTGTTCGACCTCTCAACGAGAGCACCAAATGATGGATAGTCTACCCGGGGGGTATATATCCGAGGGGTTATTGCTGGGAATAACTTAGAGAGAAGTCAGAGCAAGTAAACGTAGAGAGAGGGTTTATTCAGTATGAATGTCCTGGTTACAAATGGGGAAATGGGGTGCTATTTATAGTAGCAATAAATGCCGGACAGGGACACGTGTCAAGCGCCTATTGGCCGAGAGGTCACCTCAACTGGTTGGCGTTGGCAGCCGCATGTGGCCACATTTAATGCGGCTGTTGGATGGGACGTCTGTACAGGGTACGGTGATCTGTACGCATGTGAGGCGGATATCATGTCGGGAGAGGTGCCCTCGGCTGCAGAGAACCAGCCGAGGGCTCTTAGTGCTGAGGGCCCCTGAGTGTCGAGGGCTCCAGGTGCCGAGGGCTACTGTTTTCGCCGTTTTCTCCCAGTTCCTCTGTTTGTTCGAAATATCCATGCTGTGATATTTGGAGCCTTCGGCCAGGGGGCCGAAGGCACCCCTGGTGCGTATTGTGGGCTGCTTGGTACTCTGGGCGCCGTGATTTGGGCCTGTTGGGCCTCCTGGGCCTGTTGGGCCTCTAAAGGAGTAGTAGGAGTCTTTGGGCCGGGTGTTCCCGGGCCATATACTCCATCACTATGATTTATTGATTTAGTACATTCCTGAGATAACTAGCAAAACAAGACAGTCAATGGCCAATACCAATATAGAAGACAGACACAATGATTTACTACATTCCTGAGATAACTAGCAAAACAAGACAGTCAATGGCCAATACCAATATAGAAGACAGACACTATGATTTACTACATTCCTGAGATAACTAGCAAAACAAAACAGTCACTATGATTTAGTACATTCCTGAGATAACTGGCTAAACAAGATAGTCAATATTAAGGAAAGCATTCTGAGACATGATTTAACGACCGTAAGTGAAGTCATCTGGTGCTTTGATTTGTATTCCCATGCTCTATGCAACTCTGCATTGATCGATCCGATGAAATTATGGTAACTTCTCATCAGTTTGAGAACATGTTGGCCCTAAGGAGAAATCAACAAAGAATTCCTCCACTGAAAAAAACACATGCAATACTCAATACACCAATTAAACGATACTTGCAAGAAACATCATATATATATGTCATGTTTTTTTCCATAATTATAAGTCATAGAAAGTTTACTTCGGCAAAATTGTGAACATTACATTATTTGTTTTGGTATTTGTAATAAAAAAATTGAAACACTAAACTTAACTCTATGGTTTATGTTTTAAATTTGAGTCCAGACTTTCTATAGAAATGACTTCGAAAGCATTTTTAGGGTTCCTAGCATTTGGCAACATCGGAGTGCATGAAGACTGGGAAACTCAATGCATATCGCATTTGTGTGCGAATTGGCTTTTATTTCTAAATATTATTTGGTATTTCCTGTCAGGAATAATTCAATTAATGATGTTCTCCTATATTTAGTTTGAGCAAAGTGGACATGTACAATTGTTGATAACGTGGCAAAAACATTGTACAAACATCAAACTCGGGTACATTGATTATGTTATTGATTTAGAAAGAGTGGAACCCTTCTCACCAGAGTCACCTTGCTCTGGAGAATCAAGTAGAATATCTGAATCAGAATGCAAAAAGGGTGATGACTGGTGGTGGTTCCCAAGACCTCCTATATCAGCTATTAGGGTAACAATTCCCACTCACCACAGTAACAAAGAAAGTTAGGAAATCCGAAAAATATAAAGCAAACACACACTTACATACACACAACAACAAAACAGTGATAATGTTCTAGAGCATTTTTTACATTGATGAAAAGATAAACAAAAAATTACTCCCTCCGTCCTACAATGATAGTCCTGTATTTCTTTTTTGGGATGTCCCAAGATGATGGTCCTGTTTCCCTTTTTGGAAAGAAAGATGTGGTCCATATCATTTCACTTTATTATACTCAAATCTCAACCACAACTTTTAACTTTTCAACCACTTTATTAAAACTTGTGCCCAAAAGAAATGAGACTATCAAATTGGGACGGAGGGAGTAATTTAAACGCCTTAAACTTTTGGGAAGTATGAACTTGTCACTCTATAAGACTATAACTTATATCATACCACCATGAATATCATTTTTTCCTCACAAATATAAGTTTCATTTGCTAAATGCACAATCTAAATACTTTGAACATTTGAAAGAACATGTAACATCTTAAACTTAGACTTGGTAAGTACATCATTAGTGCTCATAGCTCTGAGATCACCCATAATTTAAAGTTCATGATATTTATTACAGACTTTGGGTTCATTCAAGGAGTATTTATATTAACTTTTTCATAAATAAAAACCAGCGTAGTCTTGTTTCAGAAATAAAAAACCAAATTTAACAAAACTATCATGTAGACTTACCTTCTAAGTTGGGTAAATCTTCTGATAAGTCTGAAAGATTAAAATTCCAAGGATAGTGATCCAAGGACCGAAGGGTGTTATTCCTGTAACTTCCAGCACAATAATCTGAGGGGAGTTGCAACCCAGCTGTGGTCACAATGTCAGATATAAATGTGGTGTCAAGGGTGGTAAAGGGGAAATGGTGACCACTTGAAACCACTGATGATGGGGTTATGGGTGTATCTATCATAGCTGAATAACCATTGCTATGTGGAACAGCTACTGCGGCCACATCTGATTCTATCACCATACTACATACAATGAAAAAGAAATCTTGCAGACAACTATACCCTTTATTTCAACAATGTAATTAGCCATCTTCTGCTATGGTCTTGTTTGTCCGTAATACCAAATAAAACTTGAATATGCACAATATCGTAGTGCTTTTCACAAATTCTACAGTTGTACATATCAGTTTTATTCAGTTTTTTTACCCTTTCTTCATTTCCTATTTTGATAAATATTCTAGGCTCACTAAAACATAATAGGTTTTCCCAAGAATTACTAAATACATATTATTTTAAGAATAAAAACATGTTAGTCCTCGCTATCAAGGATCAAATAGATATTACCATATCAACAAAAACTCATTAGTCTCAATCAAAGAACGCAACTACAATATGTTTTAGTTATATTCAGGGTAAATATTTGTTTATTTTATAATGAGAACTCTTGTGATAGATTTATAAGGTGGTTCAGTATTGATTAACAAGCTAGCATTGAAGAACAAATTCTAGTGTCTTTCTAAGTTGGGCACTAATTAATTTTACCTTAAGCTTATTTCATTCTTTCTCGCAAGCATATATCTGTTTTGCCACTCCTTTGACATATCATTCTAGGCCTTGGACGAGATCATACAATTCTCTCTGCCTAACCAACTTAAACGGTAGTCAGGCAAAACTCTTTTGTGCATCCCAACTTGAGGCACACTAAGCAAAACTTATAGCTCTTATATGTTGTATCAGACCATGCATCACTTTAAAATGTGAAATGATTAAGAACATAATGATGAATAGGAAAACCAAAAGATTTACTTGTTCCCCGATTTCATATGCATAGGATGGTAGTCGTTGAGTGCAGGCATCCCATTAACCACTTGGCAACTAGACATCATCATTGGATCAACATAAGAATGACAAGCTGCTGGAATTGGAGGTTGCTGCATGATAGGATACCCCGTAGGTAGATTGGTGGCTGCAATATAAAGAAGCACCAGCCGGTAGTAATGATTATAGACTAAATGGAATCTAATCTAATATATAAAAAAACATGTTCTTCCATGTCACTTTGGCATCTCTAAGAGGTAAATAGATGCCACCAGTATTAAGACTCAATGTCCATCTTAAAAGAGAAATCTGATAGTAGGAACTATTTGGGGATCTTATGATAATGATCAATATTGGCGACCCTTATGTAGCTATCAAGAATCTTACCTGTGGAGCAATTATTTGAATTCTCCAAAGAAGCCGATGTAAGTATCGGGGGATATTTCATTAGATGATATTGTTGCTCAAGCAACTGATTGAACAGTATGATTTGCTTTTTCAGTGTCAATCTTATGTAGTATCCTTGAAAGAAGTCGGCATTTTCTTCTTCCAATTTCCGCCACACTGTATATAATATATTAAGAGAACTTCTTAAATTAAAACTATCATATAGAACTAGCCCTGTCCCAAATAAATATCCTTTTAGCCAATTCTTTTTGTCTCAAAATAATAATCACTTTAGGAATTCAATGCATATTTTGCACGGGGTACTAATTTCCTAATGGCCCGCTTCAACTCTTCCCGCATTTAATGTTTCTGTGCGCTGAAATATATAAGATGCACTAATGTAGAACTTCAATATGGATAGAAGAGTCTTGCAATTTTCCTTATGTGTAGGTTTCTAAGATGTGAATCAATTTGGGACAGCAAGAGTATACATTAGCAAAACTAAAGCTCCAATATATATAATATTTTGAGCACCTAGACTTGTAAATGAAGGATCGATCCTAGCACGATTTAAGAGCGTTTTAACGACTTCATCTTTATCCATATACAGCTGCAAACACCTCTCGATCAAGTTCTGAACCTAGACAGACAATCATTTTGTCATAGAAACTGTTACAACTAAAGCTTCAACCAGATTTACAGGATCCAAACTAAATATGGAGATACCATAAAAAATTGAACAATCTTACTAGCGCAATATCTTCACGGGACACTTTCTTGTTATCATTGCCCGATGCAGAAATTGAACCATCATCCGCCACAGATGCCTCAGTTGTGTTGATTGGTTTGTCGTTTCGGGAGTCCGGAGAAATTTGGCTTGATGGCATGTTCTTCTGAATCCTATAACTTTCATAAACCATTAACTAATAAATCTCATAAGTCATAATATTTATCATCTTGTTTGTAAAAAGGGAAAGTTAGAAGATTATGAAATATGGTTCATGCTCTCTGCCCAACCAACATAATAAACCTACATGGAAAAGCACAATGTTCTTGAAACACTTAGGCATGAAATTAAATAGAATTGCTTTGGCTTTCACGTGAAACCATGTGCATATCATTTACTCTCCTTGTTCCTAATATACAAGGCGTGAATTATATTCTGAAAATATAATCAATAAATATACGTAGTAGAAAAGAACTTTTACTCATAATTAAAAAATGGTTTTTGTTTTGAAAATATCAATATTGTATTATAGTATTTGAAGCATGTTACTAGATTAAAGTTGTACATAATATTTTTCAAATAAAGCCTAACTTCTGTAATTGTAACAGACATCCTACTATACATTTAATACGACATTGCATGTGTAATATAGAGAAATTTGTTAGTAGCCATTCATTGGTTTTGTATGTTCAATTACTTGACGATCACTTCATTTAACTAAAAAAATTGTCCGTAGATCTTTCTCATGGAAATGTACCAATTCTGACAACCAAACAATTTTTTTCCACACGAAGTAATAAATCCGATTGAAAAGTTACGAATGATATGTTTACAAATTTATTAGTTACCTACATAACATATCGTAAGTGATTAAATGATTAAAGTTACAAGACAAAAGACTAAGTGTTCCTCTAATATGTGTATTATGCATCTATCTATTGAAGTTCTTATTAATATGTATAGCTGGAATCTAACTTATAATGCACACCCCTCACATATATGCATCTAATACTGATCTATTATTTCATATAAACAGAAATTTTATGGTTTTAGTGTCCCTTTAAGTTCTTTTATTATTTGTAGGAGTATTATTAGCCAACACTTATGTGTAAAATAAAACACTCTAAATTTGTAATACTACTGGTAAGCTTAACTATGATTGAAAAACTTACTAACCTGCGATTCGATGTAAAATAAGAAGAAAATATGATTGGTACGTAAAAAGACACTCTGGGAGGGCGGAGAAACGTTGTAGGCAGAATTGGCTTTAAGTTTAGAACAACGTATAACGTAAGTGGGGATTGGATAAATAAATATGAGAGAAAGAAGATAAGAGAGGCATGTGACTCTGTGAGATGGTAACTTTGCGGTGTTTACAGAAATGATTGATGATATCCTGACAAGTAACGGATTTCTAGCATTTTCTATCGTCACCTATCACTGATGATGCTATCTATGTATGTACCGTCATTGGTATTTGACAGGGCCATGGGGCATATAACCTAGAGAAGTGTATAGGGCCCCCAAATTCTAGGGGCTCCGATTTTTAATACAAGCGGCATATTATCATTGTATATATTTAATTTAATTGTAAAAAGTAAAAACACCTGCGGACGCCTTGACGAATAGACTCCGACCTTTCAGGCTTCCACTGCTTCCCACAGTTCGCAAAATGGAAAATCAAATTCGACGGTCGCTCTATTCCGCCCCTAAACCCCTTCGGCAAATTAGTTGGAGCCCGCAGTGGCCGCTGGCCAAAACAAGGCTGTCTAGAGCTCTCAGTTCCGGCTAAAGTAATAGTCGTACTTCGTAAAGGTAATGGCGTAATGCCGTAGCTTCTAGTTTCTAACTTGGCAAGTGGCAACTTCAATAATTGATTTACTCCGTATTTATTATTATGTTATTCGCAAATCGGAATAATTGATTTACATCTTTGAATTTAGTTTTTCTTTCTTTCGATTGTTACTTTGACACTAGTTAGTGCGTTAGGGCAGTAGGTAGTAGGGGTGGGTTCGGTTCATGCGGTTCGATTTTGACCTAAAACCAAATATAGAATCAAAGTAAAAAGTTCGGTTCGGTTTCGGTTCGGTTCTACACTCCAAAACTTGGAACCACGGTTTAATTGGTTTGATTTGTTTCGATTCGGTTTCGGTTTTTTCGGTTTTTTACCAAAAAAATTATCATTTGATTTAAAATTGATATAATACTTTGAGGGATCAAACATATACCCGTATTACATAAAGAATGCAAGCACACTACAACAAATAAAATAAAAATGAAAATAAATAAATATGTCATGAATTATATGAGTATGCGAGAGAGATAAAAGTATATATTATTAATTTACATTGTTTGTAACTAGTCCAAAAAAAGTTCATGAGTATATAGCTGAGATAAATATTTATTGTTTCATCAATACGAATTCTTTTAGTTAAATAAAAATAAAAGATAATTAATACTAATAACAAGTAAAAACATATTATCAGTATAGCTACATTATTACGTGCAATGAATGTGTAAATGAATTCACAAACTAAACTAAAAATAACAAACATTATTTCTCTAGCACAAGAAAACCAAAAACTATTAATGATAGTAAGATTAGTTAGGATTAATGCTTAACAATGGACAAATAAATTTTACTCCGTATATTTTAACCAGTTCGGTTTGTTCGGTTCGATTTTGAAGGGTAAAAACCAAAACCGAACCAAACAACTACGATTCGGTTCGGTTTTTTACATTCGGTTTCGGTTTGTTAGCGGTTTGGTTTTATTTTGCTACGGTTCAGTATGATTTGATTCGGTTTTCGGTTTTCGATTTTTCGAACCCAGCCCTAGTAGGTAATAGGGCTACCTATTGCTATATCATTGTATTACAATAAATTTAATAATAATAATAACTCAATTTAGTCATTAAAACTTGTTGTGTATTTGTATAATTGTATTTGTACTATTGAATATTCAAACTTACAAAAGAGAAAAACTTTGTGTGGATAGGAATTGTATGAAATTCTAGTTTTGTGATGACGGGAAAATGAAAAGCTAGAAGAATAGGCTATTAGTTCATATCCATGTATTTTTTATTAACATTAGATCTTTTGTTGTTGAAGAATATCCTCTTTACGTTAATAAAGAATATCATTACGTTCAATATATATATATTAAAATAAAATGTGTATATGATCATCTAGGGCCTCATAATTGCTCTAGACCACCGCGTCAAAAAAAATTGAAGGTTTCTGGAGTTATTTTTTGATGTGGCATTTTCGTAATTATTTTTGAGGGGGTCTATAAGTTATGATTTATTTGTTAAAAGTTCGTGTTTTTAGTCTATAAGTTAAACTTCGCAGTTCTCAGCCTAAGGGCACTTCTCGCATGATCCTCTCTCTCTCTCTCTCTCTCTCTCTCTCTCTCTCTCTCTATATATATATATATATATATATATATATATATATTTAGCATATGAAAAGTTATCTATTAAAGAGAAAGTCATATATTCTCAAGAAAAGGGGCAAATTCGACTTCAAAATATTAGCGATTCTAATATCTGAACATTGAACCGGAAAACCATACATATATACTCCTCGGCACTCTGAAAACCCTTTGTAGATGCTGATGCCAGTAACTTCTTACAACAAAATTACAGCCTTACCGGCACCGCTGGGTAAAAAGGGTTCGATTTATATTTCAATGGTTTGAGAGATGTATTTATAAGGGTTTTTGGCTCAAGGGCCTGGTTGTAGAATCACTAAAAGTCTAAGGGACTATTTACTCCTATTCTGTATAATAATTTACGGTAATACTTGAAAGAGTTAGGGTCAGAAACAATTATGTGCATGTGACTTACGTTATGAAACTGCACGAGACAGTCTTAATTAAAATAAATCAATACTTTTGAAGTTAGCTTAAGTGATTACTAACACATTGTTAGTTGCAACCATTTTAATAATAGACAATCACTTTGTAAGAATTTGCAGGCAGCAAACTTTATCTAGTGAATGTGTGTATGAAAATGATCAAGAAAATGTAATATTTGTATCAAAAAGGTATGATCAAAAGTAACATATAATCTGTCACCAATTTTAAAAAATAATGTTGTTGTTGGTGTAGATGTATTTGAGAAGAATGAGTTCTAGACAAGTTTTTTAATTGTGACTTATAAGTTACGAAACTGCACAGGATCACTTAGCTATATAGTTGATTCGACAATTAGAAACTTAATGTAGTGAAAATGTGCAATGGTGACCAACTCATAAGTTACTTGTTGAATTATTCGTCTAAAAACACAGATAGTAGCAGTATTTTACTTACTTGAAGATATATTATATTAATGCAAAAGCACTAATAATGCCTATGTTAATTTAAGATCCAGTGAAACATGCAAGTATCTTTTTATCAACAAATAGGGAGACAAAAATTCTAAAATGGTAGTTGCACTCATTAATTTCTTATTTGTATGCTTTCTTGCTTAAAAAAACATACTCCGTATTACTTAGTTTTGAAGTATCAACTTTGACGCTATTATGTAAATGACACTATTTCTTTGTTGTAGAAGTTGTTCTTTTAGCTTAACACATAACTCGCACAAACTTTGTTGTTAAAACAAATGGATAGTAAAAGCCTACATTCAAAAGATTTGTATGCACTAAATTACTCTTGAATAGAAATAGAAAATAGTTACAGCACATAGAATAGTGGTTCGTTATACTTTCTTTGGAGCATTGTTGTGCCTATCACAAAGTGTACGAGAGATATGGCTCATATACAGTCCACGAAAAGTTTAACTCCTCTGTATTTTTTCAAATTAGGCAGATATAAAACAGAATGACAATAGACTGTTTACATTCTATTGGAAAAAGCAGAAAGTGCATGTTTTTTAATGCATTTGTAAGCATGGCTAGTTTTAAAAAGTTTAAATGAAGTCCATGGAAAGTGCAGATTGGTTTGGATGTTATGCTGACTGTTTATTCTTACAGAAATTGAAGATATGCGATGTAGTTTGGATGTCATATATGCGCTATTTAGTTCTCTGCAGAACACTTATGAAGTTAGTCTACAAAGAATTTTGTTTGGATATAAACGAATGCTTAAAGATAAACTAATAAGTATTGCATATATGATTGCATATAATGATATGAACAATTGTAATGGCTTTTTGCAGAACAGTTTATAGGCATCAAAATCCAAATAAACACAAATGGATGTTTGTTATAGTCTCAGAGATGTGCCACCTTGTGTAGTATTGCAATACAATAATAACTACAAAATATCAGAATTCAGAACAAGGAAGAAAGGGAGACCTTGTGCAGAGAGATTGTAGCAGATCAGAACGGGAAGATGAAAATCACCATCACCCTATCGAAGAATATATAACTGCAAAAGTACATACTCCGTTAGCTATTTAAACGGAAAAGGAACCTTAACTATGTTGTTGACCCAAAGAACATTTACGGAAAAGTGACAAAAATAGTACATCTATACCCAACCTTAACTACGTTATTGACTTTACTGTTAAACTTTGAGTTATTTGAGACAATTATGACATATTTTTGTTCTATAAATGATATGACATTGTGTAACTTTGTGGTTGCCCATGAATGACCTTTTAAGTGTGATATCCCTAGCAAACATTTTTGAGGAGGGTGCAGAGTTGAAATTGCGTTTACATCAAGGAAGAAACACATAATAACTTATAACTACTGCAAAGATTGATGCAGCTAATGTTATTAACTACCATTGAGACTTTTTAGCGAACACTTTGTAAGCGTGAATTATTTTTTTAGATATGTAGCAATAAGATAGCTCATTTTTTAATTCCTGGAATTCTTCGTGCAATCAAAATAAGCATCAATAGAAGTGAACCTATGCCAATATCCCAACTCTATCTTACATATATGAAATCCCCACTCTAGTTGTAGTCTCTAGATGAATATAATTTGAAATTCAGTGAACTAAAAGGGGCACATGATGCACAGTTTTTTGAAAGGAAACAAAGTTATAATGAAATGGGTAGTAATGCATTAGAAGAAGCGAATGAAGTAAATCTTGCATGATAAGAATACATGTTTGTGTTGCAGAAAAAGATGGAACGGCCAGTAGCATATCCAACTCTCTTTCTTGAAGTTTATGTAATAATCTTCATGGACGGTTGCAGGCTGTTGTAATAAAATCAACAGTCCAGCCGGGTAAAATGAAGAATTTTAAAACTGGGCCCCTGGGATGAAAACCCGACTGGGTTGATACAAACACTCGGCCGGGTAATAACAAAAATTTTTATCCAGACCATAGCTTTATGAAAACTGATGAGGTGAACTACCTCACTCGATCGGGTCAACATGAATTTGACCAAAACTAGGTCGGGCAACTATTTCTCCCCATCTTCCCTTCCCAAATTCGAATCAAACCTACAAAACTCTCCGTAGCCAAAGTTTAAAACCTTCCATATCTCCCACACCCATCCACCAAATACACAAATTAACCCCATAGATTTCTTCTCCTCTCCTTCCTTTTCAACTGTTGATGGATAGTGTACCCGGGGGTAGCTTATCCGAGGGGTTATTACGGGGAATAATAAGAGAGAAGTCAGAGCAAGTAAGTATAGAGAGAGAAAGTATATTTAGAAAGTATGCAGCGTTTTCAGCGTGTTATGACTTGGTTACAAATGGGGAAATGAGGTGCTATTTATAGTAGCAATAAATGCCGGACAGGGACACGTGTCAAGTGTCCATTGGCCGAGAGGTCACCTCAACTGGTTGGCGCTGGCAACCGCATGTGGCCGCATTTAATGCGGCTGTTGGATGGGACGTTGTACAGGGTACGGTGATCTGTACGCATGTGGCGCGGATATCATGTCGGGAAAGGTGCCCTCGGCTGTAGAGGACTAGCCGAGGGCTCTGAGTACCGGGGACCCCCTTGGTGCCGAGGGCTCCGGGTGCCGAGGGCTACTGATTTTCGCCGTTTTTTCCGGTAACTTTGTTTTGCTGTCTGGGCCCTCATGTGAGAGTTAGAGCCTTCGGCCAGGGGACCGAAGGCACCCCTGGTGCGCATTTGTGGGCTGCTTGGTATCTTGGGCATCGTGATTTGGGCCTGTTGTGCTTTCTGGGCCTGTTGGGCCTTTATTGGAGTAGTAGGAGTCTGTGGGCCGGGGGTTCCCGGGCCATATACTCCATCAGGAGTCCCTCACTCCTTTTGCCGAAAGGTACTTGATGGAAAAGGAGTAATTGTGTTTGTCCTCTGTCGTTGTTCCGTTTGTAGTTTGTAGAGTTGTGGGTAGTTTGTTGTTTGTTTATTCTGCCGAGGGCAGTCCCTCAGTTACCCACATGTCGGGACTTGAGGGGTCATGTTTGTGATTTTTGTGATTTTTCCCGAGGGGGTCCTCCAGTCCCCCACTCCTTGAGGCACTTGCAAAGTGGTGAAAAGGAGTAGAGTAGTTGTGTTGCTGTTGTGGGCCGAAGGCTGACGCTTTTCATTTCATTTTGGGGGGATGCCTCGTTAAAAACCTCATTAGGAAAAACCCTGTGGGAAAAATCCTAATGAGGGAAAAAAGAGTGCACCGAATTCCCCCAACGATGAATCGAAAATTTGAAACCTTGGTTCGAAATGGAGAATAATGATGATGCCGAAGGCTTTCCCCGTTCTGGGGGCTCATTTGTTGATTAGCCGGAGGCTTGCTTTTGATACCCTGGGAGGCGCCGAAGGGGAGTCCCTCAATCTGGGGATCGAGGGCGTAATGAATGTGGGTAGTAGTTGAATTGTTACCGGGGAGTCCCCCGTTTGTTGATTAGTGGGTGATGAGGATATCCGAGGGGTCCCGTTACCTGTGTGTCGTAGGCTATCCGTCAATGAGGCATACTCCCCGGGGGCTACCCGGCCCTCAAAGTGCTGAGGGGGGATCTCCGAGGGGTGGCCTGATATGAAGCCTTGGGCTTCTGAAGGAGTGATCCCGAAGGCATCTGTTATGTACTGTGTGGGGCACAACCCGGGAGCGTCTCTGGGTAAGTGTACCCGGAGGCTCTCCTTGATGAAGTGGAGTGAAGTAAAAAGCCCGGGGGCTCCCAGAATATAGCCGTTGGAAATATAGCCGTTGGAATATGTAACGTCAGGATATAGCCGTTGGGGGGTTGCCACGTGGTGCGTGCTCGTTGGCTGCCTGTGGGCGGGCGTCACCGATTGGGCGAAACCGTGGTCTGTAATGATGGCAGTCCAACCGGAGGCCCGGTTTCCAGGCCCAAGCCCGGATCCCAGCGCCTATAAATACCCCAAGGCCAGGGTCATTCTCCGTTGTGTGATTTCAGTGTAGCGAAGCTCTGGCAAAAATTTTGTAGAGAGAGAAACCTGCCTTCGATTGAATCCTCAGCTCTCAAGGTCAGTTCCCCATTGCTCTTCTCCTTCTAGTTAGCTGTGCCCTGCGTCTTTAGGCTAGGAGATAGCACTTTTAGAAAACTCTAGTGTTTCCGAGCCCTCGAACTAGTGCATAGATGTCTTCCCAAAGTGATTCCCAGGACATCTCCGGGGCGCCCTCGATGGAGGATGAAGTCATCTCGGGCGTGGAGTCCTCAAGTGAACAGCCCTCAGTGGGACAAGACGATGTTGTCGCCATGGAGCTGCAGAGAGCCCTCGTCGCTGAGGCGGAAGCCGAGGGCTTCGAACAAGAGTGTGAAGATGAAGAGCTGGCCCTCGCCTGGCAAGCAGCTGAAGAAGAGGCGCAGAAAGAGGGCGCGAGGGTCACTGTTGCTTTTCTCCCCCCTCGGGGCACTGGCGAGGCCAGCACCTCTCGGCCGCTGAACGCGGTTCCCATCCGGGTGGCCCCCGGAAAAAAGGAGGCGAAGGCTGCTGGCCCCAAGAAGAAGGGCAGCGTTGCAGACCAAGGGAAGCCCCTCGATATGCCCGAGGGGTATTCATACTTGAATACCGCCGCCTTAGAGATAAGGTCGAAAGCTGATGCGGCGGATCTCTATGTCACCCAATTACACGTGGGCCCCTAAGCCATCGTGGTGACACCGGGTCCCGATGACGTCCTCTCCCGGGCTCCCGAGGGCTGCATTGCGGTGCACATTCTTTCCGTGTCCATGGGGCTCCGGTTCCCCCTACACCCATTCCTCCGGGAGTACCTCCGGTTCGTGGGTTTGGTCCCCTGCCAACTGACCCCGAACAACCATTCTTACATCACGGGCTTCCTCCAGCTCTGCAAATCCCGGGGGGTAACACCTAGCCTGGATCTCTTCTTCCAGAGCTTCAACTTGTGCCGGGGGGGGGGGGGGGGGGGGGGGCATGCGAATGCCGAGGGCTTCGCAAATTTGCAGCAAGTGGCCCTGTTCAAGCTTTTCACTGAGGCGCCCTCCTCGAACAAAGGGTGGAAAGACCGGTGGTGCTACGTGAAGTTGGCCGAGAGTCCCTTCCCGAGGGAATTGCGTGACCGGTTTAGGAGGCATGAGAAGAGGAGGAGCACCACCCTCGAGAAAGACGACAGGATCCTGGCCAAGATCCCGGAGGGCCGAGACAAAAATATAACCATCAAGGAGTGCACCCAAGAGGAGAACCTCTACACCCTCGGGTTCCGGCAGTATCGCTTCCTGGGGGAAACAGATGAAAAGTTTCCGGCTTTCGAGAGAGCCTCCGGAGGTAGTGGCTGAGAGCATTCGATCTTTTAGACTTATGCATATTTAGGTGTAGATATGATTCTTGTTGTATCTTTTCTCCTTCGGCTTTAACCGTTTATTTTTTTTTCAGGTATCGACATGGACCTCAATGCCTTCGCCAACCTCAAAAAGCAAAAGGTGAAGGCCCCGGGCCAGAAGGAGCCCATCAAGCAGAAGCCCCTCGGGGAGCTGAAGAAGGGCAGTGAGCCCTCGGGGGAGGCCGCAAAGCGGAAGGCCGCCGGCAAGGCCCCAATCCCCGAGGGGAAGAAGCAGAAGAAGGGGGACGCCGGGAAGAAGGCTCCCCTGGTGGTGGTGGTGGACGAGCATTCCGCCTCCGAGCCCAGTGCTCCAACTGCTCCTTGCCCGTCCTCGGGTAAAGGTGGTGAGGCAAGCTTGCCTCGGGAGGACATACAGTTCTCCCTGACGAAGGGGGCAGCCATTACGCATGGCACAGTAGACCCCCGGGAATTCTTGGGCGGGGCTACGCCCGCTCTGGATAGGCGGGCCCTCGGGAAGCTCGATGATGAAGCCCTCGAGTCCAAAATCCTCCGGTCCTCCCTTACCGTAAGTTCTTCTCCTTCTTTTCTTCTTCTTTATTTTTCCTTTGCATAGTGGCCTAATCCCTTACTTTGTTGTCTGTTTCAACAGGCCTGCATAGCCCTCGGCGAACACGCCAGGAGGTTCGATGAGTGGCGCCTTCAGAAGGCCCAACAGGAGGAGTCCTTCAAGAAGCTGATTCACGACAATGCCGAGGCCATGAGGCAGATGGCTCAGCTGGAGAGGGGCCTCCAGCAGGCGAGGGCGGAAGCAGAGAAGTCGGCTAAGGAAAAGGTGGAGGTGGAGAAGGCTGCTGCCGAGGCTGCAAAGAAGGCCTCCGAAGATGCCGAGGCCGCCAAAGCAGAGGCCACCGCCGGTGCAGTCGCTGCTTTCATGACCGAGGGCTGGAAGGCCGAAGGCCATAAAGACTGGGTGGCCTCGGTCGTGGAGAGTTCTGCCGACGGGTGGGTGAAGGGCCCCGGGGCGATGTGGCTAGCCCGAAAAGGTGAAGATTACTATGCCGGGGGGAGTTCTTCACCCAGGCCTTGATCTACAGGAGGCTTGCACGGCACCTGAAAATCGAGCCAACGGCCTTCGACCCGGCGGCATATGGTCTCCCCCCCCCCTCCAGCCTGATATCAAAGTCCCCCTTCCCGAGGGCGTCGAGAGGCCAAAACTGGAGGATTCCGAACTCCTGAAAGAGGCCGAGGGTGATGAGGCAGAGGCTGATACGGAGGTCATTTCAAAGCCCGCGGAAGAGGCTGCCCCCGAAGCTGGCAATATATGATCTGTATTTAGTAGTGTTTTGAACATCTTTTTTTTGTTTATGTAATGGACATCTGTGTACTCTCAGCCTCGGCCATTCTGTAACATATACTTTAATTCTTCCCTTAATGAATGAATGCTTGCCTTCGGGCTTCTTGTATATAATTTGTTCCTTTAATTCATTTCTTCTCGGATGTATGCCGTCGTTTTCTTTTGAATGTATGCATTCGCCCTTCTTTGAATGTATGCCTTCGCTTTTCTGAATGTATGCCTTCGCTTTTCTGAATGTATGTTTAGGACTTAGAATATATTCTTCCAAGTGTAGTGCTTCTTGTAGCCCTCGGCTACTAGTAATCTTTAGTCAGTTGAACCTTTCACCGAGGGCACAATGTTCAGGACTTAGAAAATATTTCTAAGTGTTTGTTCATCTGTTGGCCCCCGGCTAATCCTTCCCTCCGGTTGCATGTAGCCTTCATGAGATGACCGGAGGCGAGGTGTTTAGGACTTAGAAAAATTTTCTAAGTGTTTGAATACAGTTTTAGCCTTCGATAGTTGGGCACCATTCGGTGGATGTATGACCGAAGGCCCAGCAATAGTTAGGACTTAGAAAATATTTATAAGTGTAGTCTCACCAAGCCTTCAATCGTGTGACCCCTCGGGCTGCAGGGGGATTCGAGACTTGGAAACTTGTCACCATAGGGTAAGAACTTTTGGGACTTAGAAATTTTTCTAAGTGTAGCATGTATGAAGTAGGAGCCCTCGGGCAGCATGTATGAGGGCCAAAGTATGTAGGACTTAGAAAATTTTTCTAATTATAGCTTCACCAAGTTTTCAACCGCATGGCCCCTCGGGCAGCATGGAGATTTGACCGAGGGCCAAAATATGTAGGACATAGAAAATTTTTCTAAGTGTAGTAGTGTGAAGTAGGAGCCCTCGGGTGACTGTGAAGGCCTTGTCTCAGATATGCCTTCGGTTGACTGATGGCTCCACAAGGGGCAAAGCATTTAGGACTTAGACTAGTTTTTCCAAGTATTTCCTGTCGCTGGCCTTCGGGAGGACCCTTCGGTTGTATACGTTGTAGGTTTAGGATAGTTTCCTTTGATTTGCAATGTTGGGCTATGGTAACAAAAGCCTTCGGTCGTTTGTCATATAGTGACCTTCGGGGATTTTTTGTGTCTGTTTGAGCCTTCGGTTTTAGGTGTAACCGGAGGCAATCCTTGAGTGGACTTAGCCATTCGTCGATGATGCTTGTTGTGAATGGTATCCTTTGTACTTGTGAACTTCCAGGTACCGAAGGTGTTCTCGTGGGGAGCCCTCGGTATGTTTTTGTGAATTGTTGGAGTGATGTACTCATTGATTTCTCGCCGAGTCTACTCCCCTTCACCACCCCTTTTTTTTTTGAGTAGTGAAGGGAAGGCTTCAAGAAACTTGGTTTCTTGGTAAGGCTTGGCCTATTGGGAGGTAACAGAATACACCATTAACTCCCCCCTCGGGTTAACCTTCCGAGTTCTGAGGGGATCGAGGGTCGTTTCCTGGGCACAAAATATGGTGGTCTGGAGCCTGCCTCCCCTTGGGGGATGGCGCGGAAAGCGCTTCAGTTTTGAAAGTCGTCCCCTCGGCGCTAGACATGGTCCGTGGCCTGCCACACCCTTGGGGTGGTGGCGCGGGGAGCGTTTCGGTTTGGAAGTCAAATCATGGGCATTTCTCGTGCCTGTCATACCCTTGGGGTGATGACGCGGAAAGCGTTCCGTTTTGAAAGTCGAATCATGGGCATTTCTCATGCTTGTCATACCCTTGGGGTGATGACGCGGAAAGTGTTTCAGGGAAGGGTTTTCATTTGCACACTGGTTGCAAATGGCCGGGTGCACTACGTGCTGCCGGCACCGAGAGGTGGCGCCTTCGGTATAGGCGTCCTCGAGGGGTACGACTTAGGAAACAACACTTGGTGTTTGTTCCGATGTACGGCCCCCGGCACTTGGTACCGAGGGGTCTTCTATAAAAGTAGTTGGTGTTTTTCCCGATTGTTGAAGGGGATTGTGTTATCTACCCTCGGTACTTGGTACCGAAGGGTCTTCTGTGGAAACACTTGGTGCTCTTCCTCATTTGTTGAAAGCTGCTAGTGGCGTGTCCCCCGACACCAGGTGACGAGGGGTTTCTTTTTTTGGGGGGACAGGTGGTGCTTTGTTGTAGGTGATAGTATCCTCTACCCTCGGCACTTGGTGCTGAGGGTTCTTCTATTGCGGTGAGGCCTTGGGCCTGGGGGTGGTATGAGGGCTTGGCCCTTGTGATAATCTTGTTCCATGTTCTTGGTGTCTTCAAAATGCCTTCATTCTTCAGAATTCTTTAGGCCTTGGGCCGTAAAATAATACATTCACTAGTTATGAGGGCTTGGCCGCTCTGATGTTATTGATAAAATTTAACTAAGTGATGTACATTCCAGTGCCTAGGGACTTCAGTCCCATTAGGGCGTTTTAGCTTGTAAGTTCCGGGTTTGATGATGGCTGTCACGATGTAGGGGCCCTCGAACTTTGGTGCCATCTTTCCGCCCTCGGTTGGTTGGCTAGCTTCCCTTCTTCGGAGGACATAATCCCCCACTTGGAATTCCCTGGAGCGAACCTTGGCGTCAATGTAACCCTTCACCTGCCTTCGGTAGTTTTCTGCGCGTATGAAGGCTTGCTCTCGGCGTTCTGAAATCAGGTGGAGGTCGAGGGCCATATTGGCGTCGTTGGCCTCTAGATCATACTGTGTGACCCTTCGGGTTGGGAGAGTCACCTCAGTGGGGGCTTTGGCTTCAAATCCGTAGCAAAGGGAGAAGGGTGTCTCCCCAGTTGCCCGCCGAGGGGTGGTACGGTAGGCCCATAAGATGTTGTGGAGCTCTTCTACCCAACCGCCCCCTTCGGCCTCCAGCTTCTTCTTTAGGCCTTCGAGCAAGGTCCTGTTGGCGTTCTCCACTTGACCGTTTCCCTGAGGGTAAGCAATGAATGAAAAGGTGTGTTTGATGCCCCATGCTTCTAAGAGGGCACAGAAGGGGGCTGCCTCGAATTGAGTCCCGTTGTCAGAGATGATTTGCTGAGGGACGCCAAACCTGGTGAGGATGTTTTTGAGAACAAAATGACGGCACCTGGCCTCGGTGATGCTGGCGAGGGGCTCTGCTTCCACCCATTTGGTGAAGTAATCGATGGCGACAATGATGTACCTGTTGTTGGAGGTACCCCTCGGCAGAGGGCCCACAAGGTCTATGCCCCATCGAGCGAAGGGTATGGATGTGTTGATGGGGCATAGTTTACCGCTGGCCTGCCGGGGGCTTTCTGGAAGTGCTGGCATGCCGGGCACCTCCGGGCAAGGTCCGCACAATCCCGGGCCATCGTAGGCCAGAAGTAGCCCTGGATTATTAGCCTTCGGGACATGGAGAAGGGTCCCTGGTGAGCTGAGCAAGTGCCACTGTGTACTTCCTCCATTGCTACTTCGGCTTCATCTTGATGAAGGCACCGAAGTAATGTCCCGTTGTAGGATCTTTTGTAAAGCCTTCCGTCCTCGATAACGTAGCTGGGAGCCCTCAGTTTTGTCAGTTTGGCGCGGGCCTCCTCCTCGGGCAATTGCCCTGTGGTGATGAAGGCAACAATGTCTGAGATCCAGTCCTCGTGTCTTTGTTGTATGCTCATGACGGGGCTAGCATGTATGCTGGAGAGGCTGAGTTCTTCTATTTTGGCGATCTTGGAGATATGCTCAGGGGATTCTGCCGAGAGCTTTGATAAAATGTCGGCCTCGGAGTTTTGAGCCCTCGGTATTTGAGTAAGAGAGTGTGCCTCAAATACCTTAAGCAACTCCTTGGCCGCCTCCTTGTATTGCTTCATTCTCCCTTCCTTGGCCTCGTACTCCCCGGAGATTTGGCCGACGACCAACTTGGAGTCGCACTTGACGTGGATTTTTCGGGCCTTCATGTTAGCTGCCAGCCGAAGGCCACAGAGGAGAGCCTCGTATTCGGCTTCATTGTTGGAGACATTGAAGGAGAAACGGACTTCATAATAGGCCCGGAAGCCCTCGGGTGAGATGAGCACTACCCCTCCTCCGCATGCCTTGATGGCGGAGGAGCCGTCGGTGTAGAGGGTCCACCAGTCATCTGAAGGGGCCGAGGGCTCCTCATCCGTGGCTGCCCTTGCCGTGCACTCCGTCACGAAGTCCGCTAGGGCTTGGCCCTTGATGGCGGGCCTAGGACGGATGTCGATGTTGTATTGGCTCAAGAAGATAGCCCATTTTACCATTCGGGAGGAGCTAGTGGGGCTCCTCATCAAGGCGCCGAGGGGTTGGTGAGTGAGGACCTGAACCGGGTGAGCCTGGAAGTAATGGCCCAACTTCTTGACGGTCCACACGATAGCCAACACCGTTTTTCCACGGGGGAGTACCGGAGCTCCGCTTCCCTGAGGGTCTTGCTAACATAGAAGATGGCATGTTGGATTCTATCCTCTTCCCGGATGAGTACAGAGCTGATGGCAGCCGGGCTAACACCCAAGTAGAGGTACATGATTTCCCTTACCTTGGGTTTAGAGAGCACATGGGGTGAAGATAAGTATCGTTTCAGCTCCTCGAATGCCCCCTGACATTCTGAAGTCCATTGGAAACCGGCGCTTTTCCTCATGATCTGGAAGAAGGGTAAGGACTTCTCCGCCGATTTTGATAAGAAGCGGTTGAGGGCT